CCGATGCAGATGCGATGATCGAGACGTCAACTACCTGCTCTGATCGCTCTGACAGGTTTGGGTTGTATGGGTTTCGCGTACAGCATCATTCTATCATGAGGAGACTGCGAATGCTGCTGTTGGCCACCAGCAGCACCTTGCTCTGGATCAGATCGACCACCAAACATGGCGAAGGAAGGTGTGGCAGGCAATCAAAGCGGACGGCAGTACACAGCAACGGGGAAACGTGGGGTTGGGAAGCGAAGGGACCCGAGACAGGTGGTTCGCGTATCGAACGAGACAGCAGGTGACGGGTGTAATAACATTCAGGAACCAACATGGCCGCGAGGGACCACCTTGGGCTTCCTACATCTTCATCATCACAGGACCTCGCCCCGGATCCCAAACTAGACAATGATCCCATGGGCCAAGGCATGGGCCGAGACATGGGCCGAGACACATGGTCGAGATGGAAAGGGGTGGGAGCATGGGTTCCCCAAACTCTCAGATCCCCCTCCACCACCAGCCCCAGACCGGCTGATGAGAGGAGACGGAGGGGTAAGGAACGTACAATGTGGTTCACTGAAGGGGGACTGGAAAAGGGGGCAAGGGGGGAGCAAGCAGTGAGCGGCGGGCTGCATACTGCAGACGCACGTGGATTTCCCCCCAATGCCATGCCGCCAGAGGTACATGTACAGAGGAGATTGTTACAAATGGTCTGCCATGGTCATCACAACGGGTCGTCCCTTGGCTTGGGGTATCCTAGTTTGGGCAACGAGGGAGAGGCAAGCTTTCATGACGAGCAGGGGGTTTGTACGTTTTCTTTACCCGGGTATTCTCCCCTGATCCTGGGGACTGCGAGTATGATGCCACGAAAGCAAGGGCTGACGGGGGAAGAGGCTTCGGGGAGGCGGTCATGGTAGGCTTTAAGCAGTGCTGATTGCTCAAAGCATGCGGGTCCCCCCGTACATGATTACAAGGACGCTCCCGAGCGAGGATTCGCGAGGCGCTTGGCGCTCGGGGTACCGAACCATGGTTTGCGCTTCTCGATTCATTCTCTGTTGGCTTTCGTCCGAATGAGAGACATGGGGGGGTCCGCTGTAAGGCACCGGCTCGTGCTGGAGACCTTGACCTGACCTTGCTGATGCGGGCCGGAAAAGCTGTCTCCACCTGTATTGCTTCGCTGCCTTGAAAAGGGTAGTCATGGTTTCGTTCTGGTTGAGCCGAGATGCCGAGGAACTATGCTGCAATGCAGAGGTTCGGCTGAAGACACTGCTGGTTTGGCATCTCGAGGTTTGATGGATGGCAAGGTACTCCTCTGTCAGTCCGCTCTCACCCGTCGTAGCAATGGCAGCAAGGGGGAGGGATGCCACACAGCTCACCGTTGTGAAGACTTGTGAGCCTCTTCGCCATTTTGCCTGCCGCCGGGGGAAAACGCCCGCAGCTCAGGCTGAACTCACAAGCGCCGTCGCAAGCGTTGACCAACCTACGATTGCGAGTCCCAAAGAACCAAGTGTCGATACCGCCCGAGGGTCTAATAACCCGACGGCACCATTCATTCTCGCCCTCAGGAACGCAACGCATTGTGAGAAGAAGAAGGGCGGGAAAAGGCGGACATGGTCCAAATCCCCCTCTGGCGGCGGTTTTCGCCGCGGACTTGATCGACGCTGATTCGACAGCTGCCTCTAATCCACTGGCCATCTCCAACCCCAAGAAACCAGATCTGCGTTAGCCCAGATTCAGGCTTGGACGACCCCTGCGAGTAGGCGGTGGGTGGACCCCCGAGTGCGTTGATCGAGAGAGAGACGCGAAGAGTAAGGACGAAGATGATACAGACACAGAGACACAAGAGAAGAGGGGAACCCTTGCTTCTGCAGCACACAATAAGGCACGTGTCGAAGAGGCTTGCTCGCTAGAAACGGGAGTTTGTCCGCCACGAAATCTTGGTAGCCCCCCGTCGCCCGCCCTCCCATCGCTTGTCGCCCATCATCTGCCAGCCATGCACAAGGCCAGAGTAGGATGGACCTGCAGAAAGGCCACTGCAGAGCTCAGGTCAGACTGCAATGGGGACCGTGTCCATCAATCTGAACGCGGTCCACAGTCATCCGTTATCAATCTCGATCAGAGTGGCTGGTCCCCGCAATGAGATGAGCCCACTGCCGAGTTGGAGACCGCCCATTTCTTTTGCCAGGGCATTTGGCCCAAGTCAGGCACTCGAAATGGGTTGACTCTGGGTCTGAGGGGACATGGGGAACGGGAGATGACGAGGGGGAGACCACGTATTCCCGCGTGGCGTCATATCAAAACGTTAGCAACACAGCGAAGGATGACAACGATGGAGATTATGGGAATGACAGGCTATGCCTTGGTTTTTGGTCTCTCGCGCCGCCCAGCTGCGTCGTCTCGCGCGGGGCGCGTGATTTCTCATTGCTTGCCAAAGGTAGGTATCCGAAATACGTAACGCTTGGCCATCTGCTGGTCCCAAACTTCCCTGAGCACCCAGCCCACGAGACGAGTAGTAGATCAAAGGTCAAGCCGTCTCAGAATCACATCCTCCCGAGCCGGACAGACTACTCCTGTATGCTGCCAAGAGTATCACTTGAAGACGGAAAAGTCAAAGAGAAAAATGCATGAGCAAACAAAACCGCGCCACGTCATGTACGCATTCATCGCAGGCTAAGCAGCCCGCTTGATGAAATCTGCCGCCCTCTCAGCAACAGCGTACACAAGGCTCTGCGTAGTGGCTCGAGGGATCAGCGGGAACACGCTCGCGTCGACGACACGCAGGTTGCTGACGCCATACACCCGGAACCGCTCGTCCACCACGCCGCCCTTGGCCCTGGGCAGCATCGCCGCGGTCCCCGCACGGATGGTACTCGCTCTGCGCCGCCGGCGCGGATCCATCTCTCCACATTGTCGGCCCGTGAGCCGGTGGTAGCCCGGCTGGTACACCGTGCCGCCTCCCTGCAGCAGCGCGCTCAGCGGCGGCGTCTTCGCCACGGCCTGAAGGTGCAGGGCGATGACTTTGAGGAGCTGGAGATCGGCCGGGTGGGAGAGATAGCGCGGGTCGACCTCGGGATGCGTCGTCGCGTCGCGGGAGCGAATGTGCACGGATCCACGCGAGAACGGATGCTGCAGGACGCCGAGCACGGAGATGAAGTTGCCCGGGCCGGAGGCCCTGAATAAGAGGTTCGAGTCGTTGGAGAACTGGGGCGAGATGCCGCCCTCGATGATCAGCTCCTGCGCGACCTCGCCGGTTGCGAGACCCCTGGCAATGAGGGCGTACTGTTCGGCGAGGCCTGCGAGGCCGGTCTTGAGGGCTGTACCGCTCGTGTGAAGCGTTGTTGCAAGCTGCGGCAGCGACAGCAAGCCAGAACTGGCTCCTGACGTTGCTAGACGGCCGGTCTTGTTGTGAAGATACAGATCAAGCTGCTCCTGGAAGTACGTCGCGTTGGCAAAGTCCTCATTCGTCGGGACGCCAGGTTTGGTGGCGAAACTAACAGGGCGTCAGTATTCAATGTCTGATTGCGACAGAGCTAGAAAACAACCCGACATCAGTTGTGGAAGCACACTTACCCGAGCGGAACGTAAAGATGATCCTGCAGGTTCTGTCCGACATTGGCATTGTCCACCTTGACCTCTATGCCGTGCTTCTGCAGGAGCCGCTTGCCCCCAATACCCGAGAGCTCCAAGATCTGAGGCGAGGCGATCGATCCGGCGGAGAGAATCACCTCACTACGAGCATCTGCCGTGTTCTGGGCGCCGTCCTTGGTCCACTGGACACCTGTGGCTACCGCACTGGACCGAATCCTGTCCACTAGAATCTTGTCGACAAACGCCCCGGTGATGACTTTGAGGTTCGTTCGCGTACGAATGGGACCCAAGTAAGCATTCGCAGCGTAGCTCCTCTCGCGTCGCGAAGGGTCAATGCTAAGGGGGTTGACAAACCCCCCCAGCGCCAGCCCGCTTCGAGGGTCTCCATTGACACCCAGTCCCAGAGTCTCGTATGTGCGTGGCCACGCCGGAAGCAGCGGACTGTGAAGATCCGGAAACGCGTTGACAATGGGGCCCTTGTAGCCATGGGCTTTGGGGTCAACAGAATTCAGGCGCAAGTCCTGGGTCAGCTGTTGAGAGGGCGGCACAAAGGTCTCTGACCTCTCATAGTATGGCGCCAGCTCCTTCCACGACCAGCCCTTGTTGCCGAGCTCACCCCAGTTGTCAATGTCCTGTTGCGCGGCGTGGGTCCAGAACATGAAGTTGACGGCGGATGAGCCGCCGAGCTGTTTGCCGCGAATGTGGGCGAATACCCTATCGTTGGCGGCAGTCTGCACACTGTTAGAAGGCAATGAGGGCACAGCCCGGTTCTCGCTCCTCGTACCTGCGGGATCGTCTTGTAGTCCCAGTCGTACTTGGGGTCACCATACATGGCTGGGAAAAGCCCGGGCACCAGAACGTTGGGGTCCTCGGAATGGTCGTCGCCCGCTTCCAAAACTAGCACGGAGACCTTTGGGTCATCGCTGAGACGCCTGGCAATGGTGAGACCTGCCGTTCCACCACCCACGACTCTGTTCGTTGTCAGAATGAGGCAGAGGTGAGGATGATTCACGTCACTTACATGTAGTCGTATACGCTCGCCCCAGCGGCGGCTGCAGCACCAAGGTTCATGAGCCATACGGCAAACGACTTGGCAAACATGACAGACTCGAGAGCGCGAAAATGAAGAGTAAGAAGAGGTCAACGTATCAGATACGGCACGGCGGCGATCGGACATGGGAGGGCAGTCGAAGAGTTGTATAGGGCGGGGATCCACGGATGAAATAATCCATCCATGGGCCATGTCTCGGATTCTGCTTTCGTCGTTTGCGTGAAGAAAGACAGGGGATGGCGGTGGGATCACACAATGCAAGGCCTGCACAGTTGCAGGGTGAGAGCCAGATCTGGCAGTCGGCGTTCCATCTGTCAATCAGCACAACATGGCATCTTTGGTCGATGGCGCGGTTCGAGGCGAGCCGAAGTGCTGCGTGGCGCACAGGGTATCGAGGCTGCACAGGACCTTGATAGGCCTGGGTCCTCTTGAAGGCGTTTGAAAGGCTTCAATGTGACGGGTAATTACTCCAGCCTGCGGAGAGGGTGACATGCGCGGCGGACTTCCGCAGCCGCAGGTTGCAGGCATGTTCAGCTCGTGGGGTCGCAAACGAGGTTGAGACGTCCTTGAGGATTAGACAGCTGGAGAGATAGATTGTGAACCAGAGAAGAGTCAGTGGTTTCTCGAGTTGCTGCCATATCCATCCATCGACTTCCGGCGCTGTTCTGCAAGGCTGCGCTGACTGAAGAGCGATCCCTCGAATGAAGACAAAATGCCCATGTCCATTGGGTACACAGACTACCTGCCTGGAAGGTGGCAGAACCTGCCTGGAAGGTGGCAGAAGACGAAGACACGGTGGTATAAATCGTATCGCTGTCGCTCACCAGTGCAGAGCCCAGCGAAGGATTCCAAGGGCCGGATACAATCTTCCTCCAGCACCTGACGAAGAACGTACTTTGTAACAGCTTCAAGATGCAATACTTTTTTTGCAGGGTTCTCTAATCATCCAGTCGTGATATGGCCCCAGATCTCTCCTAGTATACACAGACGCCTCCGAAAAACATGATCATAGGATTCTCGAGGGCGGGGTGGTGATGTACATGCCGCGCCTGTGCGTGGTGTGTCTCGTTTCGGTCGATCGATCTAGTCGGACCTCGGGCGCTGCATCGCGGGGTGGGACATGATGAAGGCCCTCCGCTGCGCCTGACGGTAGGCCTGTTCGACGATGGGAGATGTGTCGGATCGGATGACGCTGCCGATGGACATGAAGAAACTGCAACGCAGGTGGTCAGCCAGGGTCGGTCTTGTCTTGGTGGGGAGAGACCGAGAGGTCTCGAGACGAACCCGAATGTTGATCCGGATCCCAGCATGTACTGGCCCAGGGTCCTCATGATACCGTTAGGTCCAGCGCCGTAGCGGAAGATGCTGACGGTGCCTGTTATTTTCTTTGTCAGTCGGCGCATTCTCGGGTTCGGTGCGGCGGAGTGGCTGTAGTGGGCGGGTGCTGACGTACCAAAGATGAAGCCCATGATGGTACCGACAGCTAGTAATCATGTGAGCTTAGGGTCTTGCGCTGAGGGGGCTTCGTTCACATACTGCCACCCATGATGGCTCCCATCTTGACTGCGACCTGTCAGTACTCCGACGCCAATGCTAGCAAGGGTTCTTTCATGTGCTCGTACGCTTGTCCAGGTTGGATTGGGCGGCAGGGTGGCCGCCAGCGTTCGAGGGCATGGGAGGCATAGTGGCGGTTGAATTTGTAGGAGAGATTTTACGTCTTGGGGACAGAGATGATGTTGTGGAATCGGACGGACCTCGCGTCTGGAGAAATCGCAACCTCAACAGCGTCGGGTCAGGCACTCAACTTTCGACACTCGATCGCGATCCAATGAATTCGACTCGAGTGGAGGAGCAACAGCAGGGGAGCTTCATGGTCCGTGCGTCTTCCATGTCACGTGGATCGTATGGGGAGACGCAAGACGGATGGATGAGCTACCACAGTGCTATCCGAGGCCTGCCACCAGCACTCCCTAGCACTCCCTAGGGAGGTACTTCCACTAAATGATGCCTGCCCCCTAACCTTCAGGCCGCCCAGTGCTGTGCTCTCAAGTGAGCTGGATTTATGGGTCTGTCAGGCGTCTAACGGAGGTTTCCAGCTTCCAGCCCAAAACGTCGGTGTGGAATAGCCCCGACAAGCATTTCATGATGCTCGTGCAAGAATCCCATATGCAAGTGACCTTGTACCATCGCATGCCTTAGCTGGCTCTCCGTTGCTTTTTTCTTCCCTCTTGCATCGCAGCCAGTGGCCGTCAACTGGCACAGTGCAACGTCCCTGGCCGTGCGGCTCAGGCGCGTGTGGTCTTTGGCCCGTGTGTCCTGACGCTAAGCGCTTAGCGAATCATTGCTGGGACGAAGAGCCAGAACGTCCTCCCAACTGAATTGATCCTTGACCACCTCAACTGGCCTTCCAACTTTTTGCTGTCGCCAGACGCGCACCACCGTTGCTTGCCATCGACTTCAATTGCTAGGTGAGTTCACGGCCCGCTGCTCCTTGTATCCGTGTCGGTTTTTCCGTCGCTGTCGGGGTCCGTGCTCGTATCAGGCCGCCTGGCCGCCCCATTTACCGCCGGCCACCCTCCTCCTTGACCCTGCGACCGTGACCACTGACTTTTCCCTCTTGCGCCTAGTCACATCATTTTCACGACCTGCCGCTATACCTACGATATAGCAGACGCGACTGGCCATCTCGGAGACGACTTGTTCGAGTCGTTTCTGTCTCGGACGGACGAGCGACCAACCATCGAGCTGCCGACGCGTTGAGCCTCCCTCTCTTCTCCTTCGCCCTCCTCCCTCCTTCTCTCACCATCGACGAACGCCGAATATCTTCCTCACCATCTGCGACAACATCTTTCCCCCCCCCCCGAACGACTCTTTTCCTCATGACGGCCGTGGCGAATCCTCCCTCCTTCCAGCAGATCAATCGCTCGGCATGGAATATTAACGGCGGCCAAAACCTCAACTCGATGAACTCCGACGACGTCAGAGGCATGTTCATGCCGCGGAAGCCCATGCAGCGAAGCAACTCTTCCTCTTCCATCTCTTCGACTTCCTCCGCCTCCTCCACCACCACCGTCGCCACCAACGGCTCGCAGTCGAATGGAACGCCGTCGACCAACTCGGACATGAGCTCGTGGTCAAGCACCGCATCCCGCAAGCGTCCCCAGCCCAAGGCCCCCTGGCCGCCCGGCAAACCAGAAAACCCTGTCGAGCTCGGCAGGATGCCGGCAGGCCGCGGCCCCATGAACGGCCACACGATCAACGGCAGCTCACTGCAGCAGAACCCCGGACAACCTCAGATGGCACAGCAGCAGAGCCTGGGCGCACGTCCCCTCGGCGAGCCCATGCCCTCCGGCCAGCCCGTGCTCTTCCTGCTCTCTCTCAACGGCACCTTTGAGCGCAAGACCATTTCCGTGCCGTTCTACCCCGACAGCCTCCGTATCGGTCGCCAGACGAACCAGAAGACGATCCCGACGCCTGCGAATGGCTTCTTCGACAGCAAAGTGCTGTCCAGGCAACACGCCGAGGTGTGGGCCGACCGTATGGGCAAGATCTTCATCCGCGACGTCAAGTCGTCCAATGGAACATTTGTCAACGGCAGCCGCCTCTCCGCCGAGAACCGCGAGTCTGAGCCGCATGAGCTGCAGACCCAGGATCATCTCGAGCTGGGTATCGACATTGTCAGCGAGGATCAAAAGACGGTCGTCCATCACAAGGTCGCTGCCAAGGTGGAACATGCCGGTTTTGCCAACCCCTCCAGCAACGTCATGGAGATGAACTTTGGTGATCTCGATCCTGCAAACGGCGGCGCCATGCTCGGACCCTCCCAAGGCGGTGGCATGCAGCAATACAGGGGACGGCAGGGCAGCAACGTCTCCATGGCCAGCAACGGGAGGATGATGCCCGCCGGCGGTATTGCAGGCCCCCAGATGAATGGTGCACCTGGTCGCGGGCCCTTCATGTTGTCCTCTGTCACCTCGGATCACATCATCAAGCGTCTTCACGTGAGTGTCTCCTTGCCCAACAGGTGGAATCCAGGGTAAACTAATCTGTGGTAGAACGAGATGCGAAGCGCTCGCTTGCAGTCGCAAGACTTGGGCCGTACCGGGCAGTTCATTGGTGCCCTTCTCTCAAAGGAAGACATCAAGGACCTGGACAAGCCAGACGTGCCTGAACCCCCAAAGCTCATGATGAACGGCAACGGGCTGCCCTTTCGAGCCGACTCTAAGGCGAGATTCTCGGATCCTCCCGCTCCGCCGCCACAGCAGCCACTGCCCGAGAAGCCCGATGTCCCCTCTCTGAAACGGGCCGCCACCGAACGACCCAAGTCGCACCCGACAAACTCGTCGCCCGTGCGTCCCGACAACATGAGCCAAATCATCCAACTGACCGAGGCGCTCAACAACGCGAAGAAGGAAATCGACACGCAGACAACCAGGATGAAAGACTTGGAAGAAATGTTGCAGAGGGAGCGTGAAGCGCGCGAACTGGCTGAAGACCTCGCGAGGAGACTAGAGGACACGGCCATCACCAAAGAAGCGAACGGCGTGCCCAAGGAGGGTGGATCAGATCTGCTGGAGGAAGCGTTCGAGCCACCGCGCGAAGGTGCCGAGCCTGTCGACGTCGATATGCCCGACGCCGACGCCGTTGCCGATGCTGACGACCAATCCGACGCCAACCAACCGGATGCGGCGCCGGTCGACAAGGTGGAAGAGGTCACCGTCCAGTTCCAGGCCAAGCTCGATTCTATGATTTCGGATATGAACGACTTGAAGATGCAAATGGAGGCGTGGAAGCAGCGTTGCGAAAAGGCCGAAGCCGAGAGAGATACGGATCGCCAAACCCTAGCTGAAATGGTTGTCAAGCTCCGTAAGGAAGAGGAGGCGCGACACGCTGCCGAACTCGCCAAGAGCCGGTCGCCCTCGAAGGGACGTGGTCGCAGCAGCAGCCGAGCACCCCGAGAACCGTCCAAGGGATCTCTCGCGAAGGCAAACGGCGTGAGCAAATCCAATGTCGAGGATCCCGCCGACAGGCCCACACTCTCGAGGGCGAACACGATCACGCCGCTCACAGCGTCGACTGGAGCCCTGATGCACAAGCGAGCATTGGTCGACGGAGTGCCATACACCTCGATGCTCGGCGTGGTGCTGATAGGCGTGGGCCTCATGGCATATATCAACGGCTGGCAGCCGCCCCCACGGCCCGCCCACTGATAGCCTGGCAGGCTGCCCTCCCCTACTGAAACCGTATACATCATAGCTTCTGGCGTTTGAAGTCACTTCTTTTTTTGCATCAACCGAACGAGACGAACGAACAGCGAGCGACGCAATCGCGCCCCCACACAGGGAACAGTCTTTTTCTTCCCTTTGTATCTATTACCTTCACACTGTACGACTGGACAACGACAACAACCTAGGGATGGGTTTCTTCCTTCTTTTGATCTTTCTTCGTTTCTTCTTCTTCTTCTTCCTCTTCTTGCGCGTTTCCCTTGAAACAGTAGGGCCAGGCAACGGCGGCGTTCCGACTTGATGAGGGAGGAAATCTTGTGACAACAGAACTGGGACGGGAAAGTGTGACGTGACGGCTGGCCACGGGGTTCAGAAAGCAGGATCTCTGACTTGCTCGCCCGACCCCGACAGCGGACGTGGTTGTGCGATGAGTAGGCTGTGAGGCAGGTGTCGAATGGCTGCAGGGCTGTCAACCTGGTGGCCGGCGGACATAGATCAGCAAGTAACCTCACGATGAAAGACGAGAAGATTGAAATGACCAGTTTGCAGCTGTTCTCAGAGTGATGCCATCTAAACGCATAACAAAAGAGAGATCGGATGAACGAGAAAGATGTGTGCCTCCCACGCTTCAAGACCAGATCCAAAATGCCCTCGAACGCCAAGTAAATCATCTCGCAGACGCCCAATACAAAGCACAGCCAGAAAACAAAACCGCCTCCGGATCATCGATGCTGCCAAGAACGAAAACATCACCAGCTCCCCATCCCCAGCACGCCGCTCACCCGCCTCCCGGCCTCGTACCCCTGCAGCTCATCCGCCGCACAGCACCCCACACGCCCGTCCGCGTCGCCCCCGTACAGCGCCTTCTCGCCGAGCCGCGACAGCGACACGCTGCAGACGAGGATGAGCGTCATGCGCGGCGCCAGCAGCACGGCCAGCAGCGCCGCGAGCAGGAGCGCCTGGAACTCGACGGTCGCGGGGCGGGGCATGCGGCCGACGAAGCCCGGGCCGAGGACGGTGACTGTCACTCTCTGGGCCGCGGGCGCCGCCGCCGCCGAGGCTGCCGGGGCTGCGAGCGCGGCGGCTTCATGCGGCGTGCTGGTGCTGCTGGGGCCCACTGGCTCGAGGGGGTACAGGTCTGGGCTGGGGGGTCGCGGGGGTGCGACGATGGGGTCGACGGCGTCGAGCCACGATGTGATGCGGGCTTTGGTGTCGTAGTCGGAAGGCTGCGGCAGGTGCGTGGCGGAGGAGATGGCGGGCGTTTCGTCGTCGACAAAGGGGTCGTCGATGAAGGGGTCTTCGAGGGGTGCGGGTCGTGAGCCGTAGGCGAAGGAGTAGGGCGTCATGACTGTTGTGACGGTATCCTTGTCGAAATCTGCGGTCCAGGTCAGTGCACGGCTCAATCTGGGATGTCGTCTGAGGGAAACGTAACGACTTACCAGAGTAGCCGACCTCGGCCATCAGGTCGTAAAGCGGGGAGGCTTGAGCTTCATCGAAGCCTTGGAACGAGTGTGGAGACTCGTTCATCGTGTTGTCTGTCGTGACGGGCCGAACAATCTGTCTTGTTCTCTCGGCTCAAGCGACTCTTGTTCTGAAGGGTGGGATCGCACGACCTAGAGGCCACTTCTTAGCGCAATGACTGCTTGGACAGAGATCGAACCAAGAGTTCGCCCGTCAGGGCCCTGGGCAGTGGTTATATTTGGCCTGGTGTTTTGGCGAGTATGGCGTGGAATGCGGCTGGCTCCCTGGCATTGCGTTGATCAGAGAATCGTGGGGTTTTGGAGATTGACGACCCCTTTTCGTGGCGTCGTCGCAGCCAGGGTTTATCTATACGTATCACCGGGGCGAGACTTTCGCTCGAGATCTGAACTCGGGAGGTTTGGCCTGCTCCGTCGCCATGACATTTTCATCTTGGTCAGGCTGATTCGACGGAATAGGCTGGAGAAGAGATTTCTGGGCAGGTAAGGTAGACGACGCTGCAAACATGTGAGACATCCCCATCAGCTTATCTTCTTGGGGTCGTGGGATTGGCAGCTTGGTCCATCGGGATTTCCATGCCAGTCAAATCTATTATCGTCATGAAGGCTTAATTTTTCAGCGAAATACTTCATCCCTTGCATGAGCTCTGTCTTGGCTTGCCTCAACAGGCCTTCGCGCCACGACACCCACGAGAGGTTAAGTCTGGCTGCCACAACTTCTTCGCCTGAAGGCTCCCACAGGCAACGGCTCACTCACGGTGCCTGGTATCTATAAGCTTGTGTATGTGAGGATCGCGAAGATGCTGGCGTCGCGCGGCGCGACCCGTCTGATGGATGACCCATGTTCCCTGTAGCGGATCCGCGGCAATGTGCATTAGCTCTGTCTCGGTTGGCTCGCCTCGAGGTCCCAATATCAGCACACTCTGATCCGACTTCATCTGAGGCCCGCCTGTCTATCTCCTTGGTGAGAATCTCCTTGATGAGAATCTCCTTGATGAGAAGGGAAAGCAAATCGGTGTTCCGAAACGTGTTCATGGCGTGTGATACTTTGATATGGCTAGACTGTTTGATGCAGAACAGGCTTTGGATGTGAGGACATTTGTTACTTCATGTAGCTGGCTTGGTGACCCAAGGAAGGTCGGCTTCCTGATCGTCAGCATCATCAAGCCCATGGCTACCATGTCAGTTCATGAGCCCAAATAATCTCATAGCGAAAGGTGTCGAGGGTAAGAATTGCTGACTCGGCACTTTTCGTGCTCGTAAGCCCTCGAGGCGCACCTCGAAGTCTCGTAGGATACCTTGGAAGTTAAAGCGAAACACCAAGTCTGGCCATCAGCAGCCCAGCAACCGACGTCAGGAAGACATCGTAGCGTGGCTCACATCACTTAATTTCTCAGAGCACTTGATCTCTGTGTTGCATCAATGTAAGTACTTAGGGTAAGGTACTTGTTAGTCCCACACGAACTATGAGACTGCATTCAAGAGGAAGGTCGGTATAGCATCATGGCACCGTCGATATCATCGGCCTTAAGGCACCCATAGAACCATATACGAGCATCTCATCTGTCATGACTACCATATCCCACCCACTGAGGCTTCTCACGCGTCGTCGCTGCCATTTGATACTGTATAGCAACCAGCCCACCATGCCGCGACGACAGCGGCCCACGTGCAGAACAACAACCAGTGAATGTGACAACCAGTGAATGTGTTGTTGCCTGGAGCCCACCACGCACACTCTGCTATATGTTTTTTTTTCAGGCTTCTTCCTGCTTTTCTCTTTCTTCTTCTCTCCTCATCCGGTTTTCAGATCACGCTCGCACTACGATTTCGCATTACGCCACATCGCTTCGCACGCTTACTCTTATTACCCATTTCTTCATGTTATCAGGTCACACTGTTATCATGTCGTGTAAGTTTCGTTTTCTATTCTGCATCAGCTGCTTTGTTGCAGAGACTCTGTTGGGGTTGTGGTGGTCGTGATGGTGCCGTCCGTCCCCAAGGCCCAAGTGGGCAGGCACACTATCATCATATATCCCCTTCCACCATAGGATCAAAGCTTACCAAGTTGCACTCGATCCGTCTTGGATTCTTCCTTCTTCTCGTTCAAATCCACTCTTCCTTCCAATCCAAAAACTGACCACTCCATAGATCCCGCTCTGAAGAAGACGAAACGGTCGACGGCCACTGCTTTGTCTGAGTCTCTTGCTCGTCGTCAGCAAGAGGCTTATGACAAGCATGTCCGGCGCGCCGCTCGTTGCCCGAAGAACGCCCCCCCTCCCGCTCCCGCCCTTGCCCGTCCGGCTGCAAAGCAGCACCGAAAGACTCCAGCTCCCGCCAGTCCTCTTCGCCCCAGGCCCAGGGCTCCTCCCCCTATCGGCAACAACCTCGCTGTTCCCAAGACACGCAAGGCCAAGACGACTCCCGCGCCCCCCAGCCGTCCTGTCCCCGAGGTCAAGCCAACGACTTACTCGCGGCCTAAGTCGACCCACAAGACGACCAGACAGAAGCCAACTTTTGTCCCTCCCAGTCGTCCGGTCCTCAAAGCCGTCTTCCCTACCGTCGGGCCTCTGAAGGTTCCCAAGAAACGCCAGGCTCTTGTTCCCGCCAGCCAGCCGACAAACCAGACGAACCCCGGCACGGAGACGTCTTTGACTTCTGCCAAGGCAAAGGGATAGGATCCTCTGCCCCAGAAGAAGGTTGACTATGTCCCCCTTAACCCCCCCGCTAACCTTGACGATGATTCCGACTCCGACACCAGCTGGATGGTATGTTGCTTTCTGCTCCTTGATATTGAACCATCGCTAATGTGTGTCAGCGCTACAACACGGACGGTGACCTGATCACGGATGAGGTCGTGGCGAAGATGTGGCCTGTCCGCGTCCCACCCTCGGCCCATTCGCAGATCGACTTCCTGTCCAAGTTTGCTGAAAAGCCAGCTGGTGTCCAGGAGGAAGAGGAGTCCCAAGCATATGAGGACGACGACTGGTGGGTGAGTTATCGTCTCTTGTTTCCACCTTGTGCCCTCCACTTCTGACCCGTCGTCTCTAGCAATATCTTTCCTCGGAGGAGCAAGAGCAGCAGGCCCAGCCTGCCGCCATCGAAGATTCATTTCAACGATGGCTCGACGCCCCCGAGGAAGAAGTTGTCTCTTCGGTGGAGCCAGAACCCTCCCTCGAAGACCGCCTCGCCCGGCTGACCATGCCGTCGCCCATCTCCGTCCCGGATGTACCACAGGGCCACCGCTCCCGACAAGCCCTATCGACAAGCCGCCCTGCCTGGTCCATCCTCCTCCCCTCCTACCAGATGAAGCTCGACAGAGACGCCGCGGGCGGTTTCATCTCGCGGTTCAAGGACGACAACGCGGACGACGACGGCGAGACCACCGGACGACCCTGGGACAACGACTTCGCCCTCGACCCAGCCGCCCGCCACCTCCCCGCCCTCCGCCAGGATCGCCTGCCCGTCCGGATTCCGTCCCTGGCCGCTCTCGACGCCCATCTGGACGCCATGAACATCCCGCGGTCCGGCTACCGCCGCCCGCGCACCGCGCCCTCGCGCTCGTCCGTCTCGGCTTCCGACAAGCAGTCGACGGTGCCCTCAACAGCGCCCCCGACCACCGCCATTTCGAAGGCGTCCAGGATTCCCGCGCCCGCGAAGAAGGTGCGAACACGCGGTAGACGACACCGCTTCATCTTCTTCCACTAGCTGCGCTTTTCGCCGAGTGTCTCTTCTGGTAAGGAAACGAGAGCCACCCATTCTTGAGAGGAAGAAGAATGAACTGACGTGTTCCAAGATCTCCAATGCCGGCGCGTCTGCCCACCGGGTATACGAGTCCATCACGGCACTCTCGCCCTCCACAAGAAGCAGAATTCCGAGCTGCAGTTCGCCTTGTCGTCTCCAGGCACCCTCATCTCGCCCGACAGGTCGCACAGCCCCGGCCGCAGGGGCAACACTGGACTCTGGAAAGCAGCCGTCTACCGCATGAAAACGTCCCCTGCTTTGGGGAAGGGAGTCCTACCCTCCTCGGAGGCAACACTGGGCTCTGGAAAGCGGTGGGACAACCGCATGAAAACGTCCCCTACTCTGGGGAAGGGAGTCCTACCCTCTGCATCGTCGAAGGTTGTGTCTGAAGAGGTGATGTGGGAGGCCAGCCTGCGGGCAACAAGACGCCTGTGGCTCGTTCTGCTTCTTGCGGAAGGGGGGGAGGGCTGGCGGGGGCTTTCCTGATGGGCTGCGAACGGATGGTGAGGTCAGGGGGGACGTTGGAACGAAGCGGCCGGGCGTTTCAACAAAGGTTAAGTATTCCCCCCCCTCCTGGTTTTGCTGACTCTTTCGCAGGGCGCTCGTCTTCAGGTTGGCCTTCTCGTGGCGACGGGTGTGAGTACCGCGCCACCAAGCATGGCGTGGAAACCAACAAACCTGACCAGATGCAATTGATGAAGGGACACGTTGGCTGATTGCCCTTGATATTTGTGGAAGCGTTTCGTGACAAATGCTTTGGGGAGATGGTTTGCGCACGGCTATCTGTCTGGGCGATCCAGTAATGACAATGCTGCAAAGGGAGAAAGGCTGTAGGCGCCGTATCAGGTCCTTTAAAACAAAACGTCTGCCATTCAACATGCTGACTCGTCGCTAAAGCTTCTGATCTATTTGCTGTACAACCAAAACGCCGTTTTGAAAACAAGCCAGCCAGCCTCATAAGATTGTTCTCGCGCATGTACGGTTTCGCTCATCTTCCCATGTCCCCCCTCCCCCTCCGTATGTGACAATGTGCAATGTACCAGTCATGGCAATGCGGGTGCCTTCTTTGCTTACCGAAAACGCAGAAAACCTCGAGCTTGAAAGGGAACAACGTAGAAAATCCCTGCCCCGGCGATAACCAAACTTGCACACTGCCCTGGCGATGTTTGCGCTGCCCATGGTGTAAAGAGCAACCAAGACACCCACTCAGGGATCGGCCGCAAGCTGTATACCCTAAACAGGCGAGCAAGGCTGGCCAGCTGTTTGATGGCGCAATCTCCATACTGTGATAGCCAGCGAGAACTGGGACGAGTGATTTCGTCCTTTCCACATTCGGTGAGGATGAAGCCTTTTTCCGCCGAGTGATGCTGAAAGGCAAGGTGCTTGAGTAAGAAAGGTCGGCGGAGAGTGTAAAAAAAAAAAAAAAGAGCATTTGCTGTCCTGTGTCTGACGGTCTATCTGCCATCTTTATCCGCCCTTGATGAGGGCCTTTCCACTTGCATACCCTGGTCCGTGACTGGATGCTGTGGAATTGGCAGACCTTGCTGCCTAGGCGTCTCCCACCTCTACTCTCCTCGCTTGTTGACCAGACGCCTGATTTTAGTCATGAGGAAACCGATTGCCTCATATGCGTCTTCCCGTCCGCCTCATTATACGTAGACCATACAATCCTACAACAGGCGCCGATTTCATCGTCCTTCATCGCTCCTCTCCCGTCCTCGAAGGCATATCTCATCCCTCGTTCTTGACTGGGTTCGACAGATGGCATCCTAAAGACGCATGTCCAACCAGAGTCGAGCGAAATGCGTACAGACACCTAGAGTCCGTAAAAGCCGGCGCAGCACAGTCATGCAAGATTCGGCCCTGGGCGCTTTCCTGTTTTCCAAAACCCAGCCAGCTATCTGCATCTGGCAGCGCATCTACCGAACGCGCCGACACGGGACTTGGGCAAAACCGCCTCAGCCGCCCTTTCTGTCCTCTCCGCGTCGAGGAGGTTGTTCGCTTGGCGCAGCGACCCGGCCGTCCCCTCCCTTTTTGCGGCTCTTGGTGGCCTTCTGCCAAGCACCATCAGCACTATGGCTCTCGCTCTTGGCGCCACGAGTGTGTCCATTCTCGCGAGATTCACCCAGCTTCGGGTTGAATGGCGGAATCTGGTTCGGCGTGAGTGACACCTGAAGAGGATGCCCAGAAGGCGCCGCTGCAGTTCGTGCTGCGCCTTGGCCACTGACTGGCAGCTGACTCTGCTCCTTGGCAGACAACATCTTCTGCTCAGTGAGAGCCTGTCCAGGTCGGAAAGGCTCGGCCAGACTGTCCATGGTGCCACTACGGGGCAGATTGGTGATGTCGGCCTTGAACGCGTGATCAAGCTTACGGACGGTAGTTGGCGAGGGAGATCTCGTCTCGTTGATGGGAGAGAGGTGTTGCGGGTCGAGGGCCAGCGGATGTCCACTGCTACGACCTTCGCGGACTGCAAGATCAAGCGGTGCAATGACCCCGTTCTGATGTTGTCTAGTGCTTAACCTTTGTCTCGTCGTCGAGGTTGATGCACCACTGGCGGCATCGGACTGGAATGCTGTATGCTGAGTCTGATAATTCGTCAATCCCATCAGGTTGATGCGGTCTCGGAAAGAGGCGTCCTCCATGGACTGAACAGCACCAGGAATAGGGATGCCTGCTGCGGCAGAGGAGGTTGACACATTCGTGCTCCCGTTCACAATGACTGGCGTCCGTGTCTCAGGCACCAAGCTTTGGGAACGGGCACCGTCTGCCGTGACCGCGTGTGGAAGGTCCACCGCAGGTGCATGCTGCGTGCTGATGCCGAGTCCTGGAACGTTGTAGACATTATCGGCGCAGAGTGAGACATTGTCTTCCCGCGCAATATTGTCAGTGACAGACAGATTCGAGGATCCTTGCCGGTGCGAAGGGGTCGAGCTTGCCCGCCATGCCGAGGACCCAGTACCATTGACCACCAGAGGCCGGGCGGCTGATCGGTTGCCATTGCTCTGGTTGGCTGGTACTGTCATTGGAGCAGAAGACGATGGGCCTGCTTGGGTGCCGATCGAATACGCTCTGGCATGACCCAGGGGCGATGGCGACGGGGAGCGGGACTTCCTTCGGAGACGGCGATCCAGCAATGTTTGCGGGATCTGGTCGGTCGACAATCTGCGCCGGCCTTGGGCATTGTGTGCCAGATCACCAAAGGCAATACCGTTGGGAATGGGCTGTGCCCGCTGGTTTGGGCTCGAGGCGTCAGCCACGTAATACCCAGCGTACGTCCCTTCGTCAGACGCTGGGGAGTCTTTGCTCGGTTGCCTAGGCACCGCATCATAGTCTGCATCCTCTGGCGTAAAGCTGGGGATAGAGACGCCGTTGGCGAGTCGTGGGCCCGCGATGCCATTGGACTGCGGCGCCGAGCCTGAGAAGGGTTGGCCTGGTTGGCCCTGGGGAGCCGAGCGTGATGCTGGTTGGGATTGCGATCTAAGCGAGCTTCCCGACGTTGAGGCGCCCGAATCGGCTGCCATCGTCGATCTTTGCCTCCTGTACTCTGGTCCAGCAGCAGACGTGGTTGCCGGTGAGGGTGGGTACGTGTACGCCGGCGCGCCATAGAAGGCCTGGAGTTGCAAGTTGTACATGCTGTACCAGTCCGACGCAGCGAGGGGAGCGCTCAGCGGGGGGTTCTCAAACGAATTCGTCCTAGAGCGCTCAGATGAGCCCTGCTGAGACTGTTGGGACTGTTGTTGGGGCGTAGATGAGCCGCCCTGCATCCTCTGATGGGCGTGAAGTTGAGCTGCCATTTGAGCTTGCATCTGGAGCACCTGAGACTGGTTGAAAAGCTGCAGGTGCGCATTAGAATCCAGTGCAAGCATACTAGCCGGGTTGCTACTCACAATGCCCGGGTACTGCAGCTGTTGGGCGGCTGCGTGCTGGTACCAAGCCACCTCTTGCGGTGTCATCGGATTCTGGGGCATATACATCGTGTTGGTGTCGTATGCCACTCCTGATGATGCTCGTCTACTCGAGTTCCCGCTTCGGTAATTATTCGAGTGGCGCCCTCCGCGATAGTTGCCTCGCCCTCCGCGACCCGACTGATTGCTCTGCGACGAGCTCCGAATCATAACCGGACGAGGGGCGTTTGGTGGCCGAATAAAAGGCGGTGGCTGCTCTTCCTTCGGAAACACGTACTGCTCGCAGCACTCGTCCAGCTTTGCCTCGGCGATGCAATCGAATGCTCTCCGAAGTTCTAGATGGAGTCCCCGAAATGAGTACTCATCTGCGGTATTACCCAGATTCCGCCCAATGTTGAAGGGTTCCTCGACGCAGAGGTTATTTGCCCACTTCTTCTCGGATCGAAGAAGCTTCTTCCCCTGTCGCACCGACAGGACGTGCTTGTCGTAGTCGAACTCGTGCGCGTAGTACCGGAAGAACTGGAACAAAAGCTCCCCTAGTGTCGATTTATTCTTATCGCCAAAGCCCTTCAAACGATCGATATCGTCGGCAAAGGTGCTTTCGGGCCCTCCTTTCTTGGAAAGCCGCATGGCTTTGTTTTGATGCAACGCCGGCAGGACTGGGGGATCTCGCAACTGGAGAAAGGCGATGATCAGGCAAATCCACGTGTACGAGCTGAGAGTGCTGCCGAAAGCTGTTGCGGAGAGCAAGGTCAGTCCAAGGGCAACCAAGTACGTGTAAGAGCAAGGCTGGGACCTACCGGCGTCGTTGACTATCCTTCTCCTTGTCCAATACTTGATAATCATAGCCAACGGACGAACCCGCGGATCGGTTTCAACATATGTCCGCACCATTCGAGTGTTCTCCAAAGCAGATGTGTTGTTGACGTTCATGTCACATGCCAAACCAAGCTCGGGATCCCAGATCTTGACGATGGGGACTTTGGCGGCAGAAATACAAACGACCTTCTCCATGCCCTCTGATGGAGAAGAGACTGTCAGCATGATGCTTCACATGAGCGGGGGTGTCTAGACGACGGATGCGGGCTTACTCTTGTGCAACAGCTCAGCTATCTTGCAGACACCCTCGAGCTCAGCCCACGTCGTCGTGATGCAAATGTCCACTGGGAAGGAAAATAGGTGTCAGCCAGCCAGTCAAGGTCTTCTGGTCCATGCAGTGTCCGCATGCAACATACCATCTGAGTCGTCGGAGCAAAGCAAGTTTCCCGAGGAGCCAAAGAGGTGCACTCGGATATCATGCCCAGGCCACTCGTCGTTGAAAATCTTCTGTAGTTTCGCGACCAACTTCTGACGGTTTTCTTCGACTTTCGGCGTTGGTAGTAACCTGTCGTAGAGCTCACGCATGTCGGACGTCAGCTTTCGCTCGTGCTCCTCCGTCAACTTTGTCTTGATCTTGACCGCGTCCACCTTCTCGCAGACACCGCTGCCAATGTTGTAGGGCATTCGCCTCTTAAAATTGTACGATGACGTCTCGAATTTACATGTAATGGTGGGGACAAGCGGTCGTAACGAGGGAAGGGCGCTGTTGGTTTCGGAATACGCCGACCGAGGTGAATGGTTGTTGTTGGCAGTAGGAGAGGGCTCCCTCGACTCGTAAGAGAAGTTCCTAGCATGCTGTTGAGGAGTAGAAGGGACCGAATTCGAGTGGGGTTGAATTGCATGCTTGTGGCCACCACGAGGACGCGCGGGCAAGGGGTGGGACAGGTGCTCGCCCTGAGAGTGCTGGCTCTGCTTCGGATTAGCCATCGTGGGCGAAACTCTGCCTGCTATGACAGCTCTGTCGCCTTTGTCCTTATTGTTGGCGGCTTTATTCCCATGGCCTTTCTCGTTGCCCTTGGAGGATGGGTGCTCCTTGTTCGACACCTTGGAAGAGGCTCTCGACCGGCCAGCCGACTGGCTCTGACTAGGGGTCGCCACGGTGGAGGGAGGAAGCGATTGTGGTTGCTGCAGTCCGCCTCCCCGCCCTGGAGAAACCAGATTGCTGTAGTGCAAGACTTGCGCTTGGTAGAGAGAGGCCTGGTGAGGGAACCACAAGGGCCAAACCTCGCCGTGGGTGAGGTTGTGTACACCGGAGGACTCGGGGTATGGGTTTGCGGCACTTGTGTGATACTTGGTCCAGGAAAGCTGGGAGTTCTGCTTCGCTGTCGAGGGTGGCGTTCCCGAGACAGGGGCGGTGGCGTTTGCGGCGTGGTGATGCCAGGAGGCGGAGGAGTAATAACTATGCGTCTCTTCGGTTGCAGTGGCTTGACTTGCCATTAAGCGATCCTGGTTCGGCAACCGGGATCGAAACAGCGGGTGCCGGGAGGCAAGGCTTCAGAGAGAACGTGGATGGCTCTGAGAGGAGTCGCTCGCTGTTGGGGTGGGAGGCTGTGGTGGTCGTTTGACAGAGGTGAAGGATTGTCAGACGGAGCGAAGGGGGGAAGAGAGTGCCGACCAGCGAACGACCAGAACGAAACAAAGGCAGACGCAGTAGAAACGACTGGACCAGCGAGTAGCGAGACCACGATTTCTTGGGAGGGGGGCGAGGATAGGTGCCAAAGCGAAGAAGGACTCGGGTTTCCGTGAGAGGGAAATAAGCCTGGACGCAGTATGTTGTATGTGGCCGCTGGGAGGGGGGTATATAGTAGTGTGCGCGAAAAGTAATCCAAATGATGTACACGGCGCGAGATTGTTCTCCTTCTCGTGGTCGGACTGTCGGTCGATCGTTCGGGTCAGGAGAGGAGAGGGTGTGTTATGTCGGGTTGTCAGTCGGTCGGTCGGTCGATCGAGTGAGTGAAGGAAGGGGAAGGGCCAGAGAGAGAGTCTTGTCGTTGACGTTGCTTGGTAGGTGCGCGGGAGTGGAAGGCACAGTGGTAAAAGGGTCGCACGAGTGGAGAATCGTTAGATCGGGGACATTGGTCCCAAAAGCAAATGGACAAGGGTGGGCGCGGCGGCGAAAGGGGACCGCGGAGTGTCTTGACAGGAGGGACACTGTCGTCAAAGGGAATGGGCCAAAGTCTGAGCCGAGCCGGTATTTGCACAGTGGAGCTGCCACCCCTTTGCCTCTCTCACTTTCTTTCTCTCTCTCTTCTCTCTTCTCTCTCTCTGTCTTGCTCGCCCTCGGTCTCGAGTCTTGTTGCAAATGGATGGCCGTGGCTGCGAGGTCTGGGTGTGCCACGCACGGGTGTGTAGGGCAAAGGTCTCTCCAGAAGGTGCTTGCTAGGTAGAAGGGGTGGATGTGGTTGACTGGGGTCGGCGGTACGTGCAGGTGACCGAGGGGGCAGTTCGCACGGCGGGTTGCTGTGTAGCGCTGCTGCAGCGAGGTTCGGTGCGGTGCGGTGCGGTATGACGGTAAGGTAAGGTAAGGTACGATGCGATACCCTACGGCATGTGCGCCTTGCGATGGGAGGGAGAAAGCGCCTTGGGTAAGGCAGGCAGATATGGAGGAGGTGGAGGTCGATGTGGAGGCAGAATGTAGAAAGCCGACTGTTGGTAGGCTGGCTGGGGGGAAGGAGGCTGATAGACGAGAGACACGAGGTCTGGCGATGTCCTTGTCGATCGATGTTGTCAAGAATGTTGCATGCCGCCTGTTTGTACAGCGAGTCACGCACGTTATCTCCCCGAAGGTGGAAAATAAAAGGAGGATTCAAATCGTGAGCAAACGACTTTGGTATGATCCAATTCTTGTTTGCCTACAACACGACTTGGGGGTCCAAGGGAAGTGGAAGTAATGAGGGGGGGTGGTGCCTGTTTTGGGGGGCTCCCATTCAGAGGTATCTTCTATTTGGAGGGGGGTGGCGGTCTCTCCCCACCGGCCCTTTCCAACACTCGTCCTCCGGTCCAATCCAATGATGATGTCCTAGGGCCAGGCTGGGTGGTTCTCTTATTGTCGGTCACCTCTCTTTGCTCCAGGCGGCAATCACGATTGGTATCTCGATTCCGATGGCCTACCGACAAAAAAAAATAGGCACTCTTGGTGGGCAGGGAGACTCCAGCGCTCAGGGCGGCGGCGGCGGCGGCGGCAGGCGGTAGCATAACCACCAGCAGCTTCTGGTGGAGTACAGCACGGTAATTCTAGTGGGTGGTGCCTGCCCTGAATGGAAAAGCACAAGGGCAATGATGCAGCATACTTCCTAGCCTGGTGCAGTGGACAGTCATTCGGTCAGCGACAAGTGGGATGGTGGGGTCGGGGCGTTCAACACCATCCATTCACCTGCACCTGCTAGTTCAGGGCACAGTAGCAGGACCCGGAGTGCATCACACAGTGCACGGACAGTGACCGACCGGGGCCGTTTGTGCTGAATTGGCTGCCAGAATTGGATATCTGGGCCGTGCGGATGAGCTAGGTCCTTCTCGAAGGCTGGCCTGGAGGTCCGTCCGCAATTGCCTTTCAATGTGACAGGTAGGCAATTATATGGTACTAGGGGGGCAAATGATGAGAGGACGGAAACTGCAATGGACGATGTCCAGATGCCCAGACACCAGAGAGAGATAGAGAGAGAGAGAGAGAGAGAGAGAAAGAGGTACCTGCCACCAACCTCAGGAATGTGGCCCATAGCTTCCCGTCACCCAACAATATCACTTTTCCTGCTCCTCTAGATTTCCCAACTTGTCATAAATCCAGCAGCCGACCCCGAACCACCTTGTCGAAACTGCAAAAAAGAGGACGCGTGATTGAACGCGTGCGCGGGCATCGGCGTTACATGGACATTCGTATCATTTCCCTCGCCTCACATCACCCCGAAACGGCAATTCGCGGCAGGACAGGATACGACGTCTTCCCCCTTCCAATCCCCTTCCCCCTCACCGCACCTCTCTCTCTGTCCTCGCCAGCACTAGATTGCCAATCTACCTCTCCTCAAGATGGAACTCCCGAACCACCGACCACGGTCGAATTCCCTGAGCCCCAAACAACGCCCCTGGGGCCGTTTGTTCCAGACAGCGCCAATCAGCTCCCCGACACTACCAAGCTTTCCCCTTGCTTCAACGCCCTGTTGAACCACTGGGGTCTCGTCTAGCAAGCCACCTTACTGTGACAATAGTTCACCTCTGCCTTCCAAACGAGCAGAATCATGTCGCTACAGCATGTGCATGCAACAACCCAACATGGCACAGCATCCGCAGTCGGACCGCAACTGCATCGGGCGGGCACCGGTGAACAATTAGTTGGCTGGCAGTGGCAGTAGGGCTGACGACTAAGCTGAGTCCTCATCCTTCTTTGCGTGCTCCCTTGGCATTGATGACACTGGGTTCGAAGTATCCAGCGTCAGCCCCAGAGCCCCCGAATCGTCAGCTGAACTTCAATCACGTCCAATCAACTCGGTCCCGATCCGCATCCTTCATCCATCATCCCCAACCGCTCGCCGACAAGCCCCCAGGCCCAGGGGGCGCAAGCAACACCGAAGACAAGGTTGGTTACTACAGTGGGAGAACGCGGCACTGTTCAGGTACGCCCCCCCCCCTGTCGCCTTAACCCCGCGATGGCTGGAAACGATTGTTCGAGCGTCATTGCTCCTTCGGACGGATTTCATTCTCCATCAGACTGAGCCGCCTTGCATTCGAGATCTGCCTCAATCATGACTCCTTGGCTGTTAAATTCTGCCCGTCAGATGAGCCGGTACATGACTGCACCGCACATCGCAACACGGCGCATACTAGCTTTGAACTTGGCGACATGTGTCGATTCATATTCAGGCCAAAATCAGCCGCGGCCACCGGGCTTCCGCATCGCAGATCCGAGGCTTGCATGCGCCGCAAGGTCTCGCCCAGCCCGCAACGAGATGCATCGGATGAAGCGTACTTCATTAGTTGCATCTCCAAGGTTAGCTCAACATGCCTTGACGATCGACCTTACACCACTGTTGTCTTGTCGTGCTTCGATGCGAACCCCTTTGGTCTCCCACTTCTTCTCCGTGCGGCCAGCAAGGTGTCAAGCTGATCCTAGTGCGGTCGTATCACACAGCATCAGTTGACAATCTTGTCCATCGGGAGCAAGAGGTCTAGTAACTGGACTCTACCAATTCGATCATCGGCGCCGAGATCCGACAGCAAGCGGCTGAAAGAGTGCCTCAGGGTTACCCAGTACCATGTCAGCCTCTTACGGCCGTACAGAGCGGCCGTGTCGTCAAGACTTGTCACTTTGCCTCGTGTCAGTCAGCTCCGCCTCGTGTCAGCTTTCAAGATCGTGGGTAGTGCTGAATACAGTGTGCCACCTATCCAGAGCTGGCTCCGTCGCAGCCTTTATCCATTCTCTTGCGTCGATAGTACGCGAGGGGCTACAAGTATACGACGGAGACCAGTCATGTGCTCCCAAGTGCATCTGATTTTGTCCGACTGGGCGACGGACTCGAGATTCCCGGAATGTACTCGATACTCTTACACACTTTTGCACCTGGCAACGGAGACTACCCATCCGAGAAGACACATTCCTCGCGGCGCTTATCAGCTGGGACGGTCACGACCCACTAGTCTACGATCATTCTATCGATGTACATAGTACCACGAACCCGACGTCCGACTTGGCCTGGCTCCATGGGTATCAGTCAGGTCGATGAAGCCGGAACATGTGAGCTCAACGGTGATACATGTTAAACAATTGCACTATCCACTGGTCGATCGTGCTTGAACCACTGCTTCTCCCCGCGCTGAAGAACCAGCCAATCGGGACCGCACCATGCTATTTCGAGCGAAGGGGCTCACAAGGACCCTGAAAACGCCATAGCTCCCGACTTGCGATACTGAGCAGGGGTTGAAGGCCCGCCTGGGCAAACGTGCGACGTCCCCTGTATCAGGCGGAAGATGCCAAAGTTTCACTTCACGGACACCGAAGGCCAGAGACTGATCACTTTTGTTTCCATTAGTTTTCATGTTGCTTCTTCTTGCAGTGTTCCACTTCGTAATTATGCCTCAATATCCAACTAAACATCGTACCTCATCCTCGTCGCCGATTACAGCTACGTCAGGCACCTGGCCAATCCCTGCGCACATACTATAAGTTCGAGGTAATATTGCATGAAATTGAATCGTTACAAGCAACCATGTTTTCTAGCTTGACGACCAAGCTCGCCCTTAAAAAGGTAGGGCTGCCAAGCAACTCGTTGGACTTCAATTTTGGTGGTGGGAACGATCCAAAGCCGGACAGCAGTAGGGGAAAGAGAGGCAATTCATCAGAGTATGACGAAGGCAACACCAGTGGAGGCTGGCCGGCTTGGATGTCGATGAAGTCCATTCCCGTCACTGTTCAGCCATGGTTCACACCTCCCCCGCCGCCTGTCCCTGTGGCCGTCGTGTGCCCGAAAGTAGGCGACGTGGCGCCGCTTGACAGGGACCGCAAACTCACCTTTGGCGGCGGGCGGCCTGTCCTACTTGTCTTTCTCCGCTGCGTCGGATGCGCATGTACGTAGTCACGAGCGGGCCCGTGATCGTTCAAGATAATTTTCGTTGACCGACCCTCCCAGTTGCCCAAAAGACGTTCCTTGCTCTCCGCGCCATCTCGGTCAAGCACCAGGTTGCTTGCGTTGCTGTCTCTCACTCGTCACAGGCGGCGACCCAGAAGTGGCTTGACCTCATGGGTGGTGCATGGAACGTTGAGGTGGTCATTGACGAGGACCGCGCCATCTACGCCGCATGGGGTCTTGGACTATGCTCCATCTGGCACATGTTCAACCCCAGCAGCCAGGTGCAGGGTTGGAAAGAGACCGGTTGGCTTGGTGAGAAGGTCGCTGGGGCAATGAAGCGACCAAGCGCAACTTCGCGCAGAGACGACATGACGTTGACAGAGGCGAAAGGAAAACTAGGTCGAATCAACACCGCCAGCAACGGCCAGGGCCTCACTCAAGGACCGGCATCAGCCCGCGGCACACAGGACGAGGATGAGACGACAATGATGGGCAATAAGTGGCAGACGGCGGGCGCATTCGCCGTGGACGGGCGCGGCACCGTCGTCTGGGGAGGCAAGGCGCTCAAAGTGGACGATGTCCTTGATCTGGACATGGGTATCAAGATTCTCAAGGGCAGCTGAATGAACCTAGCAGTTCATTCGCACGGCGGTGTTGCGGCACACTGTTTCCTGTTGTAGGCATGGACGAATATACACGAGGCCATTGGAAAGATAGAACACATAGCTGCATGACTTTTTTGAACTTTTGCCTATCCTCTCATTCACTTGCGCCCACATGTGCGAGGGAACCTGCAAGTAAGGTAGCCAGCTCTGCCACTGTTTCACAGCGCTTCGCCAAACCATCTGTCTCAAGCACAAGGCACGAACACGGCATCCGATACAGATACACCGGGCAAGGGAAGGGATCCCCAAGTACAAGTGAACTGACCGACCAGTGGGCGAAGGGAGAGGACAGGAGACGACAGGGCAAGACATTACTCTACCACATCCGTCGCTCGCGACAGGGCTATTCGGCACGACCCGCTCTGCGCTTGCCCGCATTCGCGATTGACAAGAAAGTTGATGTGCGGTTTTGGATTTTTGAGTTTGCACTTTTTCTGGAAGGACGTAAGGCGCGTGCCGCGATGCAGATCGGGCCGGAGGCGGACGGCTCCGCACGCGCAGGCGCGGCTGACGCGATCCGGGTTGGCGGGTCGCAGTCCCGGTTGCTGGTTGAATGACAAGACACCACCTGCCTGGGTCGGGGTGGGAGATGGGAGGCGGGGATGTAGAAAGTGTTTCGTTCAGTGTCAAACAAAAAGCACATGAGAGCAAATGACCAAATTCGCGGACGCCAGCTTTCATTACGAGCTCTCAAGATATGCCCCCAGATTCGTCGACGACCTCGTCCCTTCTTCGAACAGATCTTCGCCATACCAACAAAAAAACCAGCCCGGAACCCCAGAAACCAGCAAAAGACGTCGTCTATCTGCCCGCCAACAAGTCCAGCCTCGATTCGCAGCCCAGGAAGCTTCGCGCAAGCCCCTACAATTTTCCCTACCCCCGAACCCGATTGAACCTCGTTACTAGCGGTGGTGAAGAGACAGACGCGCCCGACCCGGAAAGCAGGAAGAAAGAGAATTCCGCAAAAACGATTTGAAAGACACAGCCCCAGTATTACCAGTACCGCACGATGCACACTCATACCGGCAGCTTGTAGGAAGACTATCCACCGGACATGAGTGTAAAAGTGTTGACACCCTTCCTCAGAACCCTGAGGACCCAGCATTATAGGAAGAAGGAAACCGCCCAAGCACCAAACCGCGCCAAATCCTGTTAACCCACCCCTTTGTTTTTGTCGAGTTTTGTCAGCCCGTGGTCGCCGATCTGTATGTGAAGCGACGTCTGGTATCGTATGTTTTGCGTCCAAGTCGCCGTCGAAAGTGAAAAAGCAGATCCCGAGTCCGAGCCCTATCATGCCCGTGCCCTTCCGTA